TATATATATATATATATATATAGATAGATAGATAGATAGATATATAATTGCTGTTTTTGTTATTAACTTCCCCTATGACAACACAAAGTCTCTCACAGAGCTGAATACCCACTACTGAACTCGATGACCTGCGTATGGGACACCCATGCTTGGCATATTACTGCCCTCTTGTGGAAAATAAACTGCTTGATACACATCATTTAACAGCTGTGGCATCCCAGGGGTTAGCATTTAATCATTTAGTCATTCAATTAGAAGAACCTGAAGCTGTGAATTCCAAACATGACTTTTTAATTAAAGTGCCAACTATCAAACCCAGGACCCAAAGTTCAAGACAACTAATAGGTGTAATTTTTTCCAAAATGTTTGCAAGGAAATAGATTTAACCACCATTAAACAGTTTCCCTGCTTTTCTGAAATGTCTCTCTCTCTCTCTCTCTCTCTCTCTCTCTCTTGCTCTCTCTCTCTCTCTTCTCCCCCTTGTGTATGTTTGTGTGCAGGACCAGAAGGTTGCAACCTGTTCATCTACCACCTCCCTCAGGAGTTTGGGGATGGAGAGCTGATGCAGATGTTCCTGCCTTTCGGTAATGTCATCTCCTCCAAAGTGTTTGTGGATCGGGCGACAAACCAAAGTAAATGCTTTGGTGGGTAAAAATGAACAAAACCAAAAGATTATTGGATTTTTTATTCTGATTATATTTTCTTTTTTTATTATTTCCTTTTTTTTTACTAATTACCTTTTATACTACAGACAACATGTCCATTCTTTGAACAACTTTGAGACCTAACAGGGACGAATGTCTTTTTAGTGTGGTGCATAAACTAAAATGAAAATTTAGATTTAGATTAGAAGTAATTTTCAGTGCATTCAGAAAGTATTCATTTTTTTATGCAGCAACTAGGATCAAACATTTTTTTTATTTTTCTTCCATCTGAAAAAGTAAAAGTAAGAGAAAGGACTCATTCTTTAATATTTTGAAAAAAAGTAAACAAGATGAAATTATTTTTATTTTGTTCAGGGATGCAAGACATTTTTTGCAAATATGGTTAGAAACAATTTTGTCCCTGTCACTAAGAACACCATCCTAACATGTGATACTAGCAGCATGATGATTTACAATGTGATAGCATATAGCAGATAGTGACTGATTGTTCAGTAGGGCCTGGTTTGTTGGTCGGTTGGTTTTATGGTGTGTAAATATAAGGCTGCAGCATAGGGAGGGGACATGTAGATGTGTAAGTGTTAGAATACTTTCTGTAACTGTGTGTATGTATGCACCGGCATAAGAATAACTCAGTATAATTGACATATATATGCTTAATTAGTCAGTTTTTTTATGTAGTCCTGTTGATACCTGCTGTTAGAAAGCACTGATGCCAGAGTGATGAAAAACTCAAAGCCGCAACTTAGACGCTACTTTAGCACAATTAGGACAAACGCAATTACTGTATGTGAAAATAGATTGATGATTATTCAGTGGACTCTCTCACGAGAATCCATCAGGTGCGACCCATTTTGCAATTGGCTTTTATTATTAATGTAACAACAATGTTGTTCTTGTATTATTCATGTTTCCATTTTAAATTGCAGCTTTTAATTTTGTGATTGAATGTTATGTTTCGTTTGTGTGTTAATTGAAAAACCACAAGATTAAAATCCTGATGTTTTGGTTTAAATCTGCCTTTGACTCATTTGTGTTGTGGTTTTCTTTGGTTACTAATATTATATGGAGAAGAGGATGAGATGTGCTGTGTTGTTATTTAAATATATATATATAGAGAGAGAGAGAGAGAGATGATTTCATTCTTCTGTCAGGCCGGTTTATCATTTGTACAACGGACTGTTATCTTTTGCTCGTTGTCGTCATTAGTCATTTCCTTGCAGCCCACACCTGTCCTGACTCTCCATCTAACCATATCTCGTCTTTTTGTCTCTGTCTGTTTTGGCTTTTCCCCCAGGGTTTGTGAGCTTTGACAACCCAGGCAGTGCTCAAGCTGCCATCCAGTCAATGAACGGCTTCCAGATCGGCATGAAACGGCTCAAAGTGCAGCTGAAGAGGCCAAAAGACGCCAACCGCCCGTACTAACCTCTGCCCCAGCCAGCCACCGCATCCTGGTGGCCGGGGCAGCGATTGCACACAGGGAAAGACAGGTCAGATATCCAAGTCACCATAGTGAAAAATGTTTTATAGAGGATGTGATTACAGGTGCTTTCACAACAAAATGTAATATTACATTGATGGCAAGTCTGTGGGTGATGGGGGAGGGGTTTTGGAAATCGTGTTTGCATGCCAGTACAGTAAACCCAGGTCATTATAACTAACTTTGTGTGTTTTAAACACTATGTTATGAAAACAAATAATATATTCACATGGTACTTCGTGCACTCCTCTACTTGTGCAACAACTTTACAGTCGTTCACAGCCTGCAGGTAAGATATCATTGAGAAGTGGTTCAGTGTGTTGCACAGGAAAGGGATTGCTTTCAAGGGGGAGGCATTTATTACCCCTCAGGCGGGTAATTGTGCCGTTCCTCTTTGTCTTCTCCCTTCATCTGTGTGATGGAGAGTTTAGGCTGTGTCGTTCATTCACCGCTGATGACTTCATTCAAGGGCAACTTATCACCCACTCACAAACTAACTGAACCATGCCAGACAGCGTCCCAAGGCAAATCACTGCAGGTAGAATAGTGCAATTTCATATGAATTTGTCAGGAAATATGCAGCAGAACACTCTCTTTCATATATATAACAAAACATTTTAAAAATAATTTCTCTTTAATTTTTTTTGTTGCCTGAGTTGGTGGCCCAAATCAAGTCATTAAATTAAATCTTCATGATGAAAATATTATTTTCCAGGAAACCAAACATCCGTAAGTCTAAAACTTTGTTTCTTTTTGCAGTGGCTGTCGAGCTAGGTATAAAAAAATAAAAGTTAAAAAGTAGTCCTGGGAAAACCACGGCCTTTAGAAGTCATCCTTGGAAAAACAACCAAATTCATTTAGGAACATCAATTCAATTCATTTGAGATGTTTGAGTGAAACTTTAAAAGCTAAACCCTATGGTAGCAGTCAAAGGAGTTATTTGATCTTCAAAGTTAGTCGACTCAATCCCCTGTGATGTCTGAGTGTCTGTGAAAAACTGATGATATTTCAGATAAGAGAGCCCAGACTCGAGAACAGAAACAGTGTCTGGCTGACTGACATACATTCCTCAACATTAGTATAAAAACTTGTTTTCTTGTTTTACTTTCCAGGTTTTGTTGGGCTGAATCATATGTTGTCTACTTGCTACGATGCAGATCCAGCATCAGGACCACTGAGGCTGCTTCAGAAACAAATGGGAGAGAGAGAGAGAGAGAGAGAGCAATGACCAAGTCAAGGACACCTCCTTTTTGGATGTACGAAAACTTTGGAACTGAGAGAATTTGTACCAGCCTGGTTTACCCCAGGACCTTTTTCGTCTGCACACATATACACACCTCTCTCCCCTTCAAAATCCTGCTTGAATGACATCTACCTTTTATGGACCACAGAAAACTTTTACTTGAACAATAGGGGAAAAAGAAGTAAAAGAAACAATATCAACTCTACTTTCAGCGACCAATCCCACTGAACACTTAACGGGAACATGGATGTCAGAAGTCCAACAAGAACAAAACAAACAAAAAAAAAAACAACAAAAAAAAAACTTTTTAAAAACTGAATAGAGGATTGCCGTAGGAGATCTTTCTGTAAGATGGTTTGAGTTTGTGGGCAGTTGACTTTTGAAGACCAATTTGTATGGCTTGAAATGAGAGGGGACGAAATTCCCTGTCACAGAACTTCAGTAGGGGATACGATGTTTTCAGGACAAAAAAAAAAAAAAAATTGGCTTCAATTTGGGATGGCCATCTTTAGCTTGGAGTGCCTGTCCGTTTCCAGGGGATACCGTTGCCAAGGAGAGCCATAGCAACGGTCTCTAGGGAGTCTTACCTGTCATTCCTTAGTTGTTTTAGGGACCAAAAGACCAAACGTTTTTAATGCTGAGGACTTGTAGCTCTATTATTATACTTGGACCACTGCATCTCTTTCAGTCAGTGCTAACTGGCTGAGGAGAGCTGCAC